TTTGTATTTGAGATGTACTGAGGTGCTTAAGTTATAAACTTTTTAAAAATAATCCATTATGCTCTGAGAAAATGTTAAAAACTAGTTCTACAGTGTTTTATCAAGAGCTTATATAAAACAATACCAAAGTATTTTAGAATTCTTGTGTTTGAGTTTCTAAAATCAGTCGAGTCAGAGTGATCATGTGAAATTTTTAGAAATAACTTTATCTAGTTTTCTTGAATTCTTTTAGTTTTGTTGGCCTAGGAAGGCATTGAGACAATGTGCACCTGGTTGTGGACTGTTCACACAACATGCTAAAGCAAAATGTTGCTTACTTAAGACATTATCCCATCTTGCTTCTTCCCCATTTCTTCACACAATTTAGAAACTTGGTGTGAATTTAATCAAAATGGGCAGTTCAACAAATTGATGTCATCCAGCTACCACAAGGAATATCAAAACAGCTAAAGTTGTAAAAACTTAGTTTGTACTTGGAATTACTAGGTTAGGCACATTTGTAGCTTAATTTTTTCCTGAATTATAAGTAACAGTTCTGTGGATTCAAGCTTTGATCCGTTCACATATTTTTAATAGCCCATTTGCTAAATTTAAAAAATAATAATGAAGTGAGGAAAACATGAGGTTCAGACTTCGAACAAGTGACCCTCTTCCCCCTTCAGCAAAGTTAGTTGTGTAGTATGCTGAATGACATCCAGTTGATCATATTTCATAACTTTATTTTTAAACACACTTGCCCCAATATGATCTGGGTTAGAATAAGCATTATCCTGCTCAACATTGGATGTAAGAATGTCCCAGAAAATGACTTCCTTTACCAAAAATGTTAGCAAAGATTGGTGGCTTTTGGATACATTCCCAGTAGACATGAGAATCAGACTCATGTTGTTTCCTAATTTTTTCATCCTTCATGTTGACTTTAGGCAATTGGTGGGTGCTTCTTAAGGAAATGCAGGTGAGGGCAGGAGTAAACAGTCTGGCTGCCATATACAGGTAGCCTTAGTTGTCATGATTGATGCAGAGAGACACGCCTGTGTTGATTTCTGTTAGGTCTCTTGGCAGCCTTTGATATCATTGATCAGGGGATATGATATGAAGCAGTTGTGTAGGTTAGGAATGGTAGGAATTGTGTCACGGTGGCTCCATTCTAGCTGCAGGAGGTGTGAGATTTCACAAGGGTCTGTTCTTTCATCCTTGCTGTTCGGTATCTACCTGAAGCTGCCGAGGACAGTCACCTGGAGATTTGGCTTTCAAAAGTTCACTCTCTCCTTTTCATCTGAAGCAGGGCAGTTGCTTGAAATACAGGATGGACTGGATGATAGTCAAGAAGCTGAATCTGAATCCAGATAAGACGGAGCTATTGCAGATAGATGGGTATTATACTGAGATGTAGGAAGAGGCCTGCTTGGGTGAGGTAGCACTTCAGAGAAACAGGTGCATAGCTTGAGAGTGCTCCTTCTAACCAACGGCACAACTGGCCTTGGGCAGTGAGCATGAATGTTCCTCTTTGGCGGCTATGCCAGCTATTACATTACCTGGACCAAGATAGCCCAGGCTCAGGATCTAGGCTGTTACAGCCTCTCAAATTACTGCAAAGCACTCTGTGGGAACATGGTCCTGACACTATAACTGATGCACAGCACAGCTGGCCGATTGTTAAGTGGGCAGTTAAAGAGGGAGACACAACGCTAGTCCTAAAAGCAGTAGAATGGCTTTCTGGGAGCTGCTGGTGTTGAGGTCCTCAGGTATTTCATTCTCAACAGGGCAGTCTCCAAAGCAGGGCCTTTTTAGGGACGCCACCCCGATTATGAAACACTCTCCCAAGAGTCATTTAACTGGCCTCTTCCCTGTTTTCTGTTAGATAACAGCGGAGGCTATGTCTGTTCACCCAGCTGTTTATATAGTAGCCACTAATCTAGGATCTGACTACTGTTGCTTGTTTTGTTTTCCTATTTGGTTCTGCTTAAGACACACATAGACGCAGTAATGCCGCCCAGGCTGCTCTGGGAAGAAGGGCAGAATAAAAATAATGCCTACCCAGCCCGTAGTGGTGGACACCGCTCCATCAGGTGAGGGTGGAGAAGACTGCACAGATGGTATGTTGCAGGAAAAGGAAACAGGCACCAGGATATTCCTGCAGGCATTTCATGTGGGCCCACCGGGCTGTCTTCCTCTTCCAAGACCATATATTTTTATGTTTTTGATCAATGAATGAATGAGAAGCTGGCATGTTGCAGAACATCACTCTGTGCTCTCATCTCTGTCCCTAAGTACATACTTGGGTCTTGCATAGGCCCCCAAAGCATTCTTAGGAAAGAAAAATGGAGGAGCAGCTGCATGCAGGGCCTCCTCTGGAATTGTGCCCTTTCTGTAGGAAAGAAAAGTGGGAGGGTTAGAAGCACTGGAAGGGGGCCTAGAAAGAGTGGGAGGGAGAGAGCAACTTCATCTGCCTGAATGAAGATAAATGAGTAGTTTGTGACTGGACCCAACTATGCTGTCAGTCATACTGTGGGGTACATGTGACATGCTTCTGAAATTCCATTGGGGGCCAGTGTAATACAGGTAGTCCCCAGTTTAAGAACGAGTTTAGTTCCCAGGGTCTGTCCTGAAGTTGAATGTGTACATAAGCCGGAATAGTATTATTGTATAATACTGTATAAGTGGTGTTGGGTAATGAACTTGAATCATTGTGTATTTAACTTGAATTTTGCTACCGTAGGCTCCATTCTTAACTATGGGTCGTCCATAAGCCAAGTGTTCTTAACTCGGGGAGTGTCTGTGTAGGACTTCAGGCTGGTTCTAGCCCTTCCATGAAAAATTACTTTGAGCCAGTTCCTCTCCCTTAGCCTGTTCTACCTCACAGGATTGTTGTTGGGATAAAATGAAGCAAGATCTTTGTGTAAGAAGAAAAGAAGGATGTTAAGTGTAAAAGTAAATGTCTTAGGACCAGGAAGTTTGCCTTTGAAATGTGTGGGTCTATGGCATTTGTTTGTTTGTTTGTTCATTCATTCATTCATTCAATTTATCTGGCCAGCCAGGGAGTCTGAAAAGTTTGTGGCAGGGTGCAAAATATGATCTGTTGGGCACTGGGAGAAATAGGCTTCTAGCCTATAAACCAGTCCCCGATTAAACTTTTAATTAATTAATTAATTAAAACTCTTGGCTTGCTGTCTCATAAATGAGTGAAAGGATGGGATCCACCTCCAGATGAGGAGAGGGGAGCATAATGAAGCTTTCACATGCTCTGTGAAGCTGAAGTCGGTTTAAACTTGAGTTGATAGGGGGGAAAAGAGGCCTGCCCACTTTAACCCACCATCCATAGCACGGTATTACTTAAACTGGCACTTTTCGTCGAAGCAGTTCATCTGGCAGAGCTAGAAACCATTGAGTACTCTTACGAGTTTTGTATGTGTAGGTAGGAACAGATTTATGGAGAGTCACCATCGCATTTTTAGACATCTGGAATGCTTTCCTCCCAGAATATAAATCCAAGACTGACTCAGCCCATGCTGAGGATGGGTGCTGCTTAGCAGAATTATACAAATGTCTAAATCAGTGTTTCTCAACCTTGACAACTTTAAGATGGGTGGACTTCAACTCCCAGAATTCCCCAGCCAGCAACTCTGGGAGTTGAAGTCCACCCGTCTTAAAGTTGCCAAATGTCTAAATCAGTGTTTCTCAACCTTGACAACTTTAAGATGGGTGGACTTCAACTCCCAGAATTCCCAAGCCAGCATGCTGGCTTGGGAATTCTGGGAGTTGAAGTCCATACATCTTAAAGTTGCTAAGTTTGAAAAGCATCTGGTCTAAATACAGTTTTGCTGTTTGTCTAAGGCAGTGTTTCTCAACCTTGGCAACTTTAAGACGGGTGGACTTCAACTCCCAGAGTTGCTGGCTGGGGAATTCTGGGAGTTGAAGTCCACCCGTCTTAAAGTTGCCAAGGTTGAGAAACACTAGGCCGCTATACATCATGAGAGAGCAAAGAGACAGATGCCTCTCTTCCTTTTCCCCACCAACAAGCAGTTTCCAGACAAACACTTCTAATTATGTAACCGTGTAATGTATCTCAAAACACATCGTAAATGTAACCGAGGGCAGGTTGGCCTCTTGTATATTGACTACATTTACCGGAGCGGTTAATATTAACTATTAATGTCAACATGGTGTGCGGTTGATGTTCTGGGGCTTTTAGGGGAGAGGGGCTGTGTTTTGCTGATGTTCAGGCAGTTCCTTTAGATGTCCTCCTTCAGCGGAGGTGTTGGCTGCCCGTCTGTCACTTCAGAGCGTTGGCTGCTCTCTTCTGCAGCCTGGAGCGGGTTGGGGCCACGCTTAACTGCTCTGTATAATCTGCTAGTCCATCATAATCAACAAGGCGGTCTTCCGAAGGGTACTCCGTGTCCTCCCACTTGCTTTTTCACCATCGGTTGTTTGTAACTAAATCTGTCAGCCCTTCGAGGTAGACCAGGTCAGGAAACAGGCCCTGCAAGAAATAGTAGTCCTGAAAGCCTGAGAGCATTTCCCCTTCCCTTCCTCTGACACCAAAGAGAGTCAGGATGGGGCAATCTTGAGTTTCTTTCTCACCTTTTCCTTTTTTCCTGGGCAACTTAATTTTCTTCAGGGCCGTCTCCGCACTGCTCCGCAATACCTCCAGGCTGCCTTTCAGCCCCACGCCCCAATTCTTCTTCTCTTGGACCCCTTTCTGTGCAGCAGAACAGATTGCCAAAGAGAACTTGGGGGTGGCAAAAGTATTAAACAGCGTCTCCTGCAGCCGGTTGTTTCTCTCTTGCTGATGTATCATGAGGCTAACGCTGGCATGAGATTTTCTTCTGGGCCCTTAGGTGCATTTTCATAGGGCGGGGCTTAAAAAGTCCTGTGTGCAGCAGTCTGGTCTCCTATCTAACTTGATTAAAATGATTTCTGAGTAAGCATGCATAAAGCCACAGTTAAAGCTTTAAGCCTTCCCCCCCCCGCATTTGCATATTATATAACTTTGCTAACTCATCATTGTTCTTTTTCAGCCTTCATGAAGAAATCAATGACTTCTACAAGTACATGTCTCCTAGACCCGAAGAAGAAAGAATGCGGATGGAGGTGGTGAATAGGATAGAAAGCGTGATAAAGGAACTCTGGCCCAATGCAGATGTAAGTTTAGCAAACTTTCCTATTTAGCAGCTGAGGCTGCTGGTGTTTCTTGCCCAATGACTGCCTGCCTGTAGAATCTAGATGCACGTTCAACAGTATTAAAGACAGGAACTCCACAATTCTGCAGTTAGGAAAAGGAAATCTTGCACTAAAACGAAGCAGTCCTGTTGTATATTCTCATGGCTTCAGTTGGGTATGGTTTGCGTTTCAGCATCTTTGCATTCTCATCTCAGTCACCCTGGCCAAAGGAACCAGCAAGAACTTGAGAGGAACAAATGCCATTGATAATGGAATCTCCAGGTTTCCTTGTCCAATTAATCTGCAAACTGTTGCATGATCTAGATTGGCTGGTCTGTTTTAACTTTCAGATTCCATTTCCTGGCTTGTGGGTAGTGGCATTTCTGACTGGTCCTTCCCCTCAACTATTAAGTGCATGGGAGGGACACCAAAGGAAATAAAGTGAAGGGAATTGGAAGTCCCCCAACACAACGTTAAAGCAAACACATTGCTGACGTTTTTGGCTCTGGCGAGTTTTGGAGTCCGATCAGTGACTGAAATAATTTGCGAAAGGGCAACGTGCAAACCATGTAAGCAAAGTTCAGAGATTGTGAAGTACTTCTTTTCATTAAGTTAGAACCTGCATAGGTTGAACGCTTCTGAAAAACTCAACAAGGGTCTAACGAATCAAATCTCCTAAACAGTGGGAAGAACACTGGCACCGATAAGCTATCCTTTCCATTCCCTCCAGCTACCTTTGTGGCGTGGATCTTAATCCGAAAGCAAAAACATTGTCGTCGGTTTACATTCTGTAGAAAAACGTCCATTGGGCAGGCTCATTGCGATTCATGTGAAAAATTAGGGTGCTTAAAAAAAAGGATCCTGTAAGAACGTGTAGACGCTGAGCGTTACGAAGGAAGCGATGAAGAAGAATTGGCATTCAGCACGCTTTTCTTAAACTATTTATAGAAGCCAGCAATTGTGTCATTTGCTCTGTTGCTCCAGGGAATGTGCTTAGACACATAAATTCCTAGTAAGTGAGAGCTGTTCTTGGCATCGACCAGGCTTCACCATTAGGGTGACTGTGAGAGGCTTTAATTATCTTGGAGTTGGGATAGCACAGCTGCCGAGCAAAGGAAGCAACTTAGGTTGCGATTGAAAAAGAAAGTAAGCCTTGTTAGAAAGAATGAACAGCATGTAGTTCCTGTTAGTGTGAAACTTCCTTGAATAGGTCTTCGCTGCGAATATCACCTGGGTGGGATACGTGCATCTGAAAATGATTCTTTAGCATCCTCTGGAGGGTGCTTGTCCCGGTGATTCTGTCCCAGGTCCATCATAAGGCAAGAGATTAAGGAGCTTCAGACAAGCGGTAGCCGGAGATTTTGCTAGGATTTGTGAAAGCTCCTGTGACTCTAAAGGTGGTCGGCAGCGGTTGGAAAGCTCTCCGCTAACGTTAGTACAAAGCTGGCTTAGTAGCAAACATATCCGTGAATGGATGCAGTAAGAAGGCTGTGCAGAATGTCTGGATTCAGGATTCTGGGTTTGCTCTCCTGCAACAAGTACATTAAATAATGGCTTCATTCTTTGGTTTCTTCCTCTTGTGAGATAAAAGCCAGAAAGCCACATTCAGACATCATATTAAATGTCTGCTTGCTTATGGCTTAGCTTGATCTAAGGATTAATTCTATTTTCTGGATAATCTCCAAAAATGTGCCAGTTGAGGGCAGCAACGGTCTGCATTATTGCTTATTCCTTACACTTACGATGAAGGATTTTAATTTGTGTGTTTGGCTTTTCTTCTCCCCCAGGTGCAGATATTTGGAAGTTTTAAAACTGGTTTATATTTACCTACTAGGTTAGTAATTTTTATTTATTGTGTTTATATGTTATCTTTCCTCCAAGCAGTTCAGCATACAGGTCGTCCTCATTTAGCGACTGCCTCATTTAGCAACTGTTCACAGTGACAACAGTGATGAAAAAGTAACTTTATGACCAATCCTCACATTTATGACCTTTGCAGGTCTATAAAGCAAAGGAACACTGAAGTCAGATCATAAGCACAGACAAGGTTTCACTTAATGACCACTTGGCTTAATGACCAAGTTGCCAGTCCCAATTGTGGTCGCTAAAGGAGCACTACCTCTACTTGCCCCCCTATCTGCCTTCCCCCCATTCCCATTTTATCCTCCAGGTTAATTCATTCTGAGAAAGTTTGACTGGAATAAAGTGGAAATGAGTATTTGTGGGTTGGGAAAAGCCATTGGCTTACGAAGCCTGAGATTGTCATCTGCCAGAGTTACACATTTAAGATGGGATGACGCACTAACATTTCGGTAACTCGGTGACCAGCAAATAGCATTCATTAAGTGCTGAATGCTATCTGAAGCATGTGTCCCTGACGAGGTCTTCTGTATGAGATGATATCCTGGTTCTGCTGCAGAAATCTATCCATTCTGATTCTGAAAGGCATTTTCTCTAGAGGGTGATGTGTTAAATCTGCTGCCTTCTCGTTCCAGCGATATTGACTTAGTTGTGTTTGGAAAATGGGAGACCTTGCCACTGTGGACCCTGGAAGAGGCACTCCGGAAGCACAATGTGGCAGATAAAGGTTCAGTAAAGGTTTTAGATAAAGCAACTGTAAGTCTTTTTTTCTTCTTTTTTTCTTCTTGTTCCTTTCATGCCTTTAGCGTATGAGCAGTTCAAGTCATATCGGTCAATTACCGTGGATCTTCTACCATGCAGATGAACTGACACACACACTCATGTGCTCAGTATAATGGAAATAATGTTAAAAATGTCTTTGTGTTGGTGTTTCTCATGTAGCTGTTATGTTCTGTCTGACAGAGCAAGCAGGATCATCTGAAACTGTTAGAGCGTTATGTATTCATTCATTAGATTTCTATCCTGCCTTTCATTCAGGAGCTCAAGGTGGTGTAGACGTTATTCCTTCCTCCATTTTTCCCCCAAAACAGCAACCCTGTGAGATAGGTTGAGCTTGAAGCTGAAGCTAGAATAAAAACTTCAAATGCTATGAATTTATGTTTTTTCTTATCATTATTAAAGTGGTTATATTTCCACTGTTTCTTACATGTGGCCTTAATTCAAGACAGTCCTTTTCCCCCCCAAAAAGTGACCTGTGAAACATCTCTGCCATGTTACGGTGAAACCTCAGTTTAACAGACCCCCATTTAACAGACTTCCAATGCTACAGTTCAAATCTGCATTCATGCTTTAACCTTGAAATAATGGACAGGTCTGTTGTTTCAGAATCTGTCCTGACAATAGACATAATTTGCATCAAGTTATGTCATGTGTGTAATTATGTAGTTGATGGTTTTACATCATTTGTCTCAATTTGTCATTTGACTTGAGCTGATGCAAATGATGTTAAGAGGGAAGCTGCATAATTAGTTCAATGATGCAAATTACATCAGTAAATGTAGATTTAACAGGCACCCATTCCCTCTGTTAAATTAAGGTTTTAACTCCTTGTTTTTTTGAAACGTCGCACATCTTTCATTAATGGCATTTGCATGAAGAATAGTTAGGTTCTGTAATGTTTTCTTTTCCCCTGTCTGTTCACGTTTAACAGCAGATGTTTTGAGTTTGGGATTGTATCTCATCTCTCAGCTTTTTATAAATTATTTCTTTATGCAACAGATAAGGTATTCAATTTGAAGTTGAAATTCAGTTCAAAGAGTTAGTTGTACAGAAGGATGTATGTGTGTACATAAAAGTCAGCTGAATTTTCAGGTTGACTCACAGTGCAAGATTCTATTCAGTATCTTGAATTGAGTTGGCAGTTCAGTTAGAAGAGCTGATTCAGTCAAATTGTCCTCCAATCAAAGCTTTGAATCGACACTTTATCAGTCTTGGCAGCAAAAGGTTGAATCCCCTAAATTCTGATTGGTTCAATTTTAAATGTGTTCTGTGCTGAACTAAGACTAAAACTATAGCTGGAAAAGCTTTTTTTAAAGACAAACATGCTGTTTTTCTCTTTCCTCAGGTACCTATCATTAAACTGACTGACTCCTTTACTGAAGTAAAAGTTGATATCAGCTTTAATGTACAAAATGGGGTAAAAGCTGCCTATCTCATCAGAGATTTTATCAAGGTCAGATGATGGTGAATGTAAACTTTGTCTTCCCTTTATATAAAATGCTCACAGTGTAATTTGCAGATAACGTGGTGAAGGTAGCAACAGATGTGAACGTGTTTTTGAGAATTCCTGCTCCTCCTCTGATTCTCACTTTCTTTTATTTAAGTGGGTTTGTATTTATGATTGGGAAAGTCCACAAGGAACGCTAAATTGTAGATTTGTGCTTACCTGGGTGAGCAGAATGTAATCCAAGCAAAACCTTAAATTCTCCCTCTCTCTGCCCTGAGCCCCCCCAGGAGTTGGGAAAAAGTGTAAAATAGGGGTCATCCAGTCATTCGCGAGTCTGCTAAAGACATCTGACTTGTTCAATCACTTTGTAAAGAAGCCACTACCAACCCGGGTTTGTTTTGCTCTCACAGTGACAACCTAGAGTTTATTTCAAGCCACAGCGCCTAGTTAAGTTCATAAGGTAACTGCTAATTCGTAAGTTAATCCTCCTGTATTTCTCCGTGTAGAACAGGACTTTGGGGTGGGCTGGGCTGGAAGAAGCTTGAACCTGGCACTTTGCACAGGCTTCTTGTGATTTGTACAAATCATGATACTCTTGGGCTGAGCATTACCATATATACGAACACAGTCACTAAATCGTTAACCAAGTTAATGGCCGTTGTCTTTGAAGTCCTGTAGGGTTAGTAGCTTACTTATTCATTTTTTAACATATTTATATACTGCATGCTCCCAGCAAAGCCAACTTCTGGGCAATTCCATTCAACAACTCTTAAGTAATTATTCTAGAGGATGTATGGCAACTAGAGTATAATACATAAAACCAAGTAAAAAATTAAATAAAACTCAGACAGACAGACAGCCTTCTCATTTAAAACCTGAGGGGAAAAATGAGGGAAAAACTCTGGAAGAAAAGGGTAGAAGTTGGTTTATACTTCTTGTTGATAACTGCTTGAGTATCTGTTTTCTCTATTCTTTAATGAGGCAGAAAAGAAACACAGTAATAAAGCACACGTACTTTTACTCTGTTTGAAATGTGAGGTGAAGAACCACTCTATAAATGGAGGCAGCTCCTGTTGTATCTAAATAATCGTGTGTCAAGGCTAGTATCTGATTTTTCAGATTACATTTCCCTAGTTTGCAAGCTCTGAAAAGTAGGCAGTGTCAAAATAATAATATTAACAACAGCAACAACAAAGTAATAGAAAATGAAGAAGCTAAAGGGCTCTGGGACTTGAGAATTCGAACAGACAAGCACCTGCCACAGAACACCCCAGACTTAGCAAGTGTTGATAAGAAAGACAAAAAAGTCTGGATAGTGGGCATTGCAATACCTGGAGGCAGCAGAAGAGAAGAGAAAGAACTGGAGAAAATCACAAAATAT